GTGTGCTTGAATGAGAGTTATATACGAAGATAAGAACGATAGTATAATAACATAAATTTGATATTTGTATCTGGTAGGTGATTATGTTCTTCAGAACTTATATGTATAAAGAAGAATTCCCAAGATATTAAGTCTGATTATTTAAGTTTTAACTATCTTTGGCTATTTTTACTTAATTTTTTTTATTTTTTTGTTTTTTGCGTTATTACAAATATAAAAAATATTTTTTTTGTACTTCATGGAAAACTAAAATTGCAATTATTGAAATATCCAATTTCGTTGAATAAAAGCTATGCATATTTAGTAAATTTGTAAGAATAATTTATTTACCTTGTACAGCCTTACTCACCTTGTATTAAATTGTTAAGACACATGTTTAAAGCTACAAATATTCATAATTTTGTTAAATTTTGAACTTTATATACTTGATTTTCATCGACATTTCTAAATAAAAAAAAAACCAATATCTCAATAATAGGCATAATATCATTTATTATAATATTTTGTCAAAAGTTTGTTTGTGTATAAATAAATACTGAGAATGCTTTACTTTTAATCCCTCAATGTATCTACTAGGTTTCTATCTTAAATCATCTGATTTTATTGGTTTATTTAGATTTAATGTTTAACTATAATATATCAGTCATCTGGGTAGAATGTAGATATTTAATAATTGAAAAAAAATGAATTACATTGTCTATCAATATTGACTATTGTATATTTGTATGTTTATGATTAATTAATTTATCATTTTTATAAATTATAGATTAAAATATTATTTTATAAAACTATCTATTAATATAGAATAAAAAGTGAATGTATAATATTTTAACAATATTAAATGGGAAAATTAAAAAATATCGAAAAATACTAAAATTATTGTAGATACGTAAAATATCAAAACTAACTATTAATCCGAGTAGAAAACTAAATATTTTTGAACTATGATAGGACAGTGCAATAGGCAGTACATCTACTTTTTAACGTATCTATCAATTATAATTTATAATTTATAAATTATAACTAATAAATTAATTAAATAATACATTAGTTTTTAATTTTTAGCGAACTGTATATGTATAGGTATAACGTAAATAAGTTTAATATATTAAACACTTAATATAATAAAAATATGATGGTACGTGTTGTTTTATGCTACCAATTTTAACAAATACTTAATAACGATTGACGAGTTTACTAATGTCTAGAGTTGACAAAGGGAACAGAAACTGAAATCACATTTATTTAAAATATCTACCATTAGCAAATAGTGACTAATCTGGAGTGTACAAAAAATATTATCAATGAATGGCAAAAAATATACTTCAAACGATACTTAATGGCCAACACAAAAAAACACAATGCTGTAGAGAACGTAGCGTTTTATGAGAAATACGTCTTAGCCAAAACTTAAAACACATGACGAGACACCTTAGGTTAGGTTAAACATACGAGCTAGCCACCATCCGTCGGTTAGCATTCCGTGACACAGTGATACGTGGTTACTTCTATCCCGTACTTGGTTCAATCTACGAAATTACTTGCGGAGTTGACTAGTGTTGAATTTTGAACATGTTTCTGGAAAACGCTATTTGAGACGTTGTCTCCTACATCGAGCGCTTAAGACAAGGATTATTGTTACGTACCGTCACACCGCATCGTGGACAATATCAATACCTATCCCGGCTATACCTATCTATGCTAAAATCTTGATATCCATTCTTCTGGGGATTATACCGTCGAAAAGTGTATTATGTTTATGTTATATTATCATTTATCTTACCGCTCTCAAAAAAAAAATTAATTAATTAATAAATAAAATAGAATTATTATGTACTTTTGGTTAAAAACAGTTCGTCATCAGATATCAGAGTATTATCAATTAAACCAAGTTTTATCGAATTATTAGTAAGTCACTATGAAATTATTTTGGGAAAGCAAGCCCCCCTCCCTTTGGGATTTATGACACTATATAAGCATGGATTACATTACAATAACCTCGTATTGATATTATCTTCATTTTCTATGGTTAATAACTTTTAAATTACTATTGTGTCATAATAATTGCGTTTCTTAGTTGTTTACGCATGTGTATATAGTATGACCACTGAATACTAATACAAATAGTAACAAATTTACAACGAATATTTTAATATATATTATTATAGTTATATACCTGAATAAATAGTCGTACAATAAAATCTACGACTTATCAGTTCTAATTAAACATCTGTTGAATATATATTTAATTATTATGCAAAATAAACACGAGACATGACACAAGTCTAAATGATATATTGTCTATATCACCAAATCAAGCTCTATAAATGGCATAAAAAAAAAATCGAAATTTCTATTATTGTAAAATTCATCAAGATTTTAACTATTTTAGAGTAATTAGGTAAAAATTCTAATCTTAAAGAGAAATTTAATAAATCAATTACCAAAGAATTTAAGGAAGAAGAAAGGATGATTGTTGAACAGTACAAACTTACTTAGAAAATCACTCTGTATAAATAGCTTTCATTAAATATCTAACTAATATATTAAAATAATATTAAGTTTATTAAAAAATTATTTATTCTGGATAAATAAACCTAATAAAATTGAAAATTATACCTATAGTATACTTTATAATTATATATAAGTAGCTTTGAGTAGTTTTAGCATGCGCGGACATCAATTAATAATTTTTTATAAGTCAAGTGTATTGATATATAAATAAATATTGTTATTATAATTTGTTTAAACTTCAAGTGCACTATAGATAATGAAACTTCACTTATTATGTTGTTAGTCATTAGTTTAATGAAACACATCATTCATTCAATCTTGCATACATTTATTTTATACAGTGACGTTTAAATGTTTTACGCTTTAAATTAACAAAATTAACAACCAGCATCGTTATAATAAAACATTTTTACGGTAATTAAGAACTCATATTATTAAAATATTCACAATTGTTGATATTTATAAATATTTTTAAAAATTTTAATTTTATTTGCTTATCATAATTTGTTTTAATCTTCAAACGTTTGCAGAGCCGGATTTATCGGTGGGAGAAGGACTGAACACCAAGGTCCAAGATCCACCTACATTTTTTTTGTGAAGTCAAATTATGATAATTTTTATCTTTGTCGCTAAATATTTATGTAATCATTTTTATAACTCCATAAATTAGATTCTAAAATTGTTATTTTTCGTTTGAATAAGTAGGTATCCATTTTAGTGAAAATTTGAATCATTTATAATGTCTATAAAAAAAAACCGCGCATTTGGGTATTATGTTTATATATATTTTCGATATTTTTTAGTATTTGTAAGAACTATTATTATGACATTTTGTATGATATATCCGACTTTTTTAATCCATTGTAAAAAAATGTATTAGTGCTTGACACTTGTTAAAAAAAAAGTAGAAAACCAAAGCATATTTTCTACTTTTTAAAAATTTTTTTTTTAACAAATATTTAAAAAAAAAGCTTATCATTATAAAACAAATACAATTTTCGATTTGCTCAGAATTATCAAGTAAACAGACCATTTTTTATTTACTTGCGATTATTGCACTGTAGCATCAAGCAAGCCTGCATTGAGAAAGTCATTAACATCTATAAAGAATAATATCATACCATTTTTATCTATATAGTGAGTTCGTGTCGGCGTCATAATACATTTTACTCACCTACTTTGTTTACATCCCCCCCCCCCCCCCAAATGAAAATTTGATCACGCCTTAGGTAATCCAATCATGGGAAAATTGACGTAGCTTAAATTTTATATTTATAAAACAGTATAATAATAGTAAAGTTGTATAAACACGACGTGTACATATATTATATATACCTATATAGATGGTTCTGACTGTTGATGCAGCTTATTGTTGAGGTAATAAAATATCTCACGTTCTTCGTACGTCGACTTGATTAGACTTCAATAATTTTAACGGTCGCAAACCATTATTATTATACATATCGTATTATCGTCGTGTAAACAACGACATATTAATATTATTAATTTTCGTACCTTCCTGTTATATTATATTATGTGTTTCAGTAATAACTAATAACAGTAATAACCGTCACTCGTTGCGGTTGACCACGACCATCATAACAGTAAACTATCATTTATCGCACACACGTTATAGGGTAACCTAACCTATACACAGGGTAAATCACCAAGCATTGTTCACTCTCATTTTCCCTTAAATAATGCATTTATTCTAATTTTCATGTTTTATATCGCTTTAAGGAGTCCTGTGCCGGTAAAAACATAATTTTCAAATTAGAATTTCTCCGTTTTATTATACGTTGTTAATAGACGATCTTTTTTAGAATTTTGATATGCCTACCCATCTTGATAGAAATTTGAACGAGCAATTTTTAGAGCTATTAAACTTTATGTCTTAGAGATAATGAGTTTAGAAAATACGTTTGAAAATTATAATCGGTACCCAGTCAACATTAATTTACTGACATTTTTATAATATTCGTAAAAGTTATCCTTGTATAATAAATAGTAGATCCAATACTACATCTAATCATTCGATATTTAATGGAACCACTCCTATAATTAACCCAACCTAACAGCTCAGGAACTACTCGCAATAATTTGTGTTTAGATATCACATACGACATTTTTAAACAGTCGTCTGATTTGATAACTTACAGTGGGTAAAGTAAAGGTCGGGTAAAAATATCGCGGTCCTCAAGCATACAGGTGTATGTACTCGTAAAAATTACAAAAATCGGAATCACAACGTCTAAGGGTGCAGACCGCTCTCGATGGATCACCCTATACAATATATATTTTTTATTAATATTATTATATTACATCTAAAAGTATAATATACCTCCAATCGGTGTAAAACAATTTATGTATATATATATATATATACACATCGTGGTGGGGGCAAGGGAGGTGAGCGTGAAGCCCGAAACGCCGCCGGCCTGCCGCCACGGCCGCCGTTGAGGTCAGTCACGGTTTGGCGTTATGAATGCGTGCACGGCGGACGCCTTAGCACCACCGCCGCTGCAGTCGCCGTATCGTCGCTACATTATAACTAACAGTCGTTTCCGTCTTCGGACGGACCGCCGCCAGCTGTAAGCGACCGCGCTGCGGGTCGGCGGCGTTGGTACGGGCATTGCGGACACCGGCCACGGCGATGGCCGCGGTCGGCGGTGCGCTGAACGTGCCGTACGCCGTTCTCGAGGGCCTGGTGGCCGTCGGGGCGACCGTCGGGAACGGGCTGGTAATCGTGGCCTTCCGACGGGAACGGCGACTCCGGCGGCGCACCAACTACTACATTGTGTCGCTGGCCGTCGCCGACTTGTTGGTCGGCCTGGTGGGCATACCGTGCGCCGTGCTGTCCAGCGTCGGCCTGCCCCGTCATCTGCACCTGTGCGTGTTCTCGGTGTCGCTGTTAATCGTCCTGTGCACCGTGTCCATACTCAGCCTGGTGGCCGTGTCCGCCGACCGGTACTGGGCCATACTCTACCCGATGGCCTACTCCACCAACTCCAACACCAAAATCGCAATCAGTAAGTACCTACCTCCTACACCTCTTGCACACACGCGCGCCAAATAAAGTCCGTCCGGTTCGTTTTTGGCATTCGACAACTCGCCCCCGCGTGTTAATATACCTGCCTGATATCCCGATTGAATATTCTACGAAAATTCCGCTCTGAGGCCCGATCGAGTTGTTGAAATCGGAGAGCACAGTAGAATTTCATAAGTGAATTTTTTGAGTTTTTCTTCAAATCAAAAGCGAACAAGACAAGTTTTACTTAAAATTCATAATTTCGATGGATTGAGAAAAGAGAGTTTTTAATATTTTTTTTTTTTTTTGGAATTAATTACTATACGTATATTTTGAGACATTTCGATTTTCGGCAAAAACGATATCGTTATTCGTTTATATGATATTGTATTGCAAACGAGTCTAAAACCTTAATGTCACGTGTTATGCACTTGTAATATTTTAATTTTATTTTCCACGTGACTGCTATAGTGAATTATGATAGTAAATTGTAGATAATACACGGTTTGAAGAATGTTTCGTAAATATCATCATAAATATGATAAGGAAAGTAATACACGAGTAGGTACCGGTTTTGTTTTGATATTAGTTACCTACTACATACCTACTACCTGTGTATGTAATATTGTTAATAATTCGGAGAGTACACAACATGAATAAATAGTCTGCGTAATTACAATTATTTAATATTCTTATGGTACAAAAACAAAAGTTTTAACTTTATTTGGATTATTAACTTGAAAACGTTTTGTGCTATGTGTACATAGCACATAGGTAAACTATTGTCCTAAATAGGTATAGTATTATTGCAAATCGCATACTTTTAGTATTGTAGTTACTAGTTTTGTTATAGTAGACGGTATAGTAGTTTGAGTTTTAGTAGTTTTTAGTTATTGTTATAGCTGATTAGTATTTATTTAATCAATTGGATTTTTCAATAGTCATGTGTGTAATTGAATCAAAAATATGATTTTTATCACTTAAGTAAATCTATTAATTATAAAACCATTACTTATTTACATGTATATTTAATGTATGCATATTTTATAATGAACATTAAATAATTATATGTATTTAAAAATAATACACGATCTTTTGATTTTATGCACAATATTATTAATTTGTTAGGAATACTTATTAATAGATTATGTTTTTTTGTTAGTTAATTTAGTTAGTATAAAGTATTGTCTGGTATCGTTTTTGTTAGCCGTTAATCTTCAAACTTCTTTCGTGTTACCTTATCTTTTTATTGAATGGAAATTTGATTTATATTTGGTAGGTACTTTAGATTATTAGATTTTCAGGATTTGTTCATAAATTTCTCAATGTAATGAAAAACTACCTATACCGATAACCATAAAAAGCTGATAAAGTTTAAGGCATACACTTTTAGCTATTTTATTTCTTTTTAAATCAAAAAATAATAATTCCAAAACTTTAAATTAGCTTATATCATTAATTAATTTTATAAGTAGGTACCTATATCATTTAAATGTAAACACGTCTAAACATTTTATACTCTTATATATTTATGTGATTAGGTATCTATACATTGTATGGTTATTCGGGGATTCATTCGGAATCGATTTGTTTTAATGAGATAATTTATAATACATGTTTGTATTCAAACTTATAATAAATCTACATTATTGGGTAAATAACATAATATAATTGACACCAATAGCATACCTAATCTGAAATAAGTTAAGCTGTATTTCTAGAGTAGACTGCTGAGTGATTAATACCTGTGATTTATATAGCCTACTCGGCTTTTTTTAAATTATTTCGTATTATTTATTATGTTTTAAAAATCACAAGTGATAAGAACAAGGTTAAAAGTGAAATACAATTTACAAGGCTTATAATAAATATATTTAATATATTGTTCACCTAATAGTGTAATTTAATTCTAATATCGTCTTAATTGATAAGAATCATTTGCACGTTACCTATTTATGAAATTAATACCTACATAATATTAACCTTATTATAACATACTCCAACATACTTGTATACGTAATACCTACTAGTTTAATAGGAACTCGTAGTACTCTGGAGTTTATTCCTCAAAATCGATGTGAATTGATAAATAGTTTGTTTGAAATTTATGAATATATGTAACGGTTTTATGTTATGATGATGTGGAACCTGTGTTTTAAACTTTTTTTTGATCGCTTAAATATGAAAGTACACACACTTATATAATATTTTATATTTAATTGTATTAATTATAATATTTATAGTAGAAAGACTTAAAATAAATGTTAAGTAATTTACCGTTTAAAGAAAAATATTTAAATCGGAAGCTTAGAAAAAAAAAGCTTATTTAATTTTGTGTTTTAAGTTTGGATTTTAATTATTTTTATTTTAATAATAAGTAATGTGCAGTGATTATAGGTAACTGCTTAAAATATGTTTGTACAATATATTCAAATTTTAAATTCAATCTCTTTTCTAAAGTTAATAACCAATAAAATTGTAGATTTATTTAGAATATACAAAAATTTATGATTGACAATTACTGAAGTGATTATACAATATATTATATATTATACCTATTGACACATATTACAAACGCGTTATCAGTAATAATTCTATGTCAAAATTGGAATTAATTTATATTTTTTTTTCACTATTTCTTAGAATTATAATAATTTATCAAAATTAAATTAATTATGTGTGACCTTATGACTAATTTAGTCAATAATTCTTTCAGCATCATGTTTTAAATTGTACAATGTACATATTACATTAAAATAGTTATATGATAATAATTGTAATTTGTAGGTAATTAAGAGTATAATTGATACTTGAAAGTAGAAATATTCAAGTAAAAATAGTAATCAACATACCGATCTACATATATTTGTTATAACAGTTAAATATTACAATATAATATAATTAAAAAATGTGTGAAACCAAAAACATTAATTATTCAAGAAACAATATTTTATGTAAAAATTGTACGCGTGTTACGTACATTTATAGATATTTAGGTACATCACGCATATGAAATCTAATCATAGTGTAAAATCGTTCTATCGTAAAATTATAAATTAAAAACATATTTTACTCTACCTAAAGAATGAATATAATATGTGTCAACCTAGCTACATTTTATACCCGCTGGCAACTTCAATGTGTAATATTTATAAACATACGATTGACCATCAGGGCCATCAGAGCCATTAAATACTAAATCTTTTTAATTTATAAAAATATTTAATGATTACCATTCTGAAATTTTGATTTATGGGTGACAATATTGATATTTAAGAAAATTGATAAAAATTAAAATAACAAAAGGATAAAAGTATTATTTTTTATATAACGAATACCTATATACTTCATTACTTCAATATATTTTCGTAACTATGAAATAATGTCATAAAATATTACAAGTCTCATTAAAAAGAGACACTAACATGTGTGCGAGGAATATAAATTTCAAATTTACACATTAATACTGTACTAATTATCTCAAATCTAATACGCATTATACAATACTGAAAAATCCGACCATGTCATTAAAAATTCTTGTAGATTATTTTACTATTATAACGTACTTGTAAGCGCCACACAAGGACAGGCAATCACGTTCGACAATTTCGCGACATTTATGCTGACATTTTGCTAATATATGTTACGCGTATTAATTAGTACTGTCTTACAAATTTTGCATACTAATAAAAATTTACTAATTATTTAATATCTATTGTCACGAAATATTTAACAAATAACTATTGAGACATGATAGGAATTTAGAATATATTATATTGGTACTATTGGTATAATTATCTTACTTAAAATTTAGAACAAGGATGTAAGTATCGCAACGATGGTAATATTAATTAATTTATACGACCTATTGACTATTGTATAATATATTAATGCTTATATAACATAAATAGCGTATTTTTTATTTTAAAATTTATTTTATGTATTGATATATATATATTTACATAATGATATTTAAATAAAGGATCATAAATTCCATAAATCTAAAATCAATACCTAAGTACTTATCATTATTAAATTCTTACATTTTTATATAAAAAATTATGTGATTTATATAAATGATTATAATAAATTTTGTAACTGATAATTTAAGTTTTTTCCAACAGAAACTAGCAAGTCATATTATATTGCGTTGCATAATATAATGTAGTACCACATAGGTACGTATGTACATTGATTATTTCGTAAATATATCGGCAAAATATAAATTATAATAAAGGTAATAATCCATATTCCATACTGATCTCATCTTTAAATTTAAACACTATTACATTTATTAAGCTTAATAGTCTTACTGCAGTCTTAATAGAAATATTTGTGACATAAACTACATACATTCTTTTAAAAATTCATTTAATTATGTGTATGTCTATGTTAATAAAAATATCAATTTAGGGCATTTTCTATAGATTTGCATATTTTTCAATTTTTATTTTTAAATAATTTTTATTTTTTTTTTATTTTAACCATATATTTAACAGGTTTGAGTAAAATATACTAAAAACCAGTTTATATTTTATAACTCAATGTGAATTTATTTGCCAATATAACTCGACTTGTATTATTTAGATAGCTTTTTTCAGAATCAACATAAAACATAGACAATAATATAACAGATTAAGTCAAAAGCAAAGTTATTGAACCAATAGCCAATGAATTATTTAACAGCTTTAAATAGTTATTGAGAGAAAAATAGTGGATTTAAATTTTAAACAGGTATTTATACTTAATTTAAAAAATATGCAGATAATTTGGTGGTTTTTTTTTTTAATTTACGCCTAAATAAGTTTTTTTTAGGTAAGAAATTATTATTTTTAATTTAATTCATATAAATATATTTACAAAGCGATTTTATTTTCAATAGATTCAAAAACTTACTAGCTCTACCTAGATTGAACAGTAAATTGTTAAAAATCTAAAATAAAGTACCAATATTCAATATAATTCACTTAATTAAAATATTTAAGCTATGGTGTAAATATTCTACAATATCTCCTAATCCTATAGTAATTATTAAAGTTATAATGTAATGAAATGCATACAAATATTATGGTATAATTAAAGTACCTAATGATACAAATATGTTTGATGACAGCTGCATCAATCTTCTTACTTGCTGATAAAAAAATTGTTTAAGCTATTATTTATTGAATAATAAAATGAGTGGAGCGTGAACGGGGCATTATTGCTGGTATTGAATCACAGATAAGATTGTACTACTAAGTAATAATTGTTAATTATTATCAGATAAATCATAGTAATATTAATATTAATATACAAGTGATAAATCTTTTACAAGGTAATTTTTGTGTATTGGCCATTCAGACTTCCTTGTTATACTTACTCATTTTAAAATAAAGTAATTTACTACCTCGGCTTGTAATAATATGAAAAGTGTCTCCTTACTCCTCAATAATAAGAAGTTACTTACTGACATAGTTCTAATGAACATAATATTTGAATAGTTACGCTACATAATAGTAACCTTGAATTAGAATATAAAGTCTTTGTAGCTGATATTCAAAACTATGAACTATATTCAAAGAAAGAATAACATTCCAAAATGATTATACATTATTTGTAAAAAATAATAATTTGTTTTAAATTCTAGATCTATAATATATGAACTACCTTTTATAATATTAAAAGATACATCATCATAAGTTAATAAATACAAATATTGAGTTTATCCGAATTATATGAAACAGTTTTATATCTCATATGCCAATAGGTAACGAGACATCTACCTTAGTATACTATAATAATAAAATTATTTATTATTACACTAGATTTAACGTGCTTCACCATGATACTCTTTCTACATTAGATTATAAACATACAGCTACAGTGTATAAATACAAATATATCAATATTTATTTTACAGTCATATTTATAAGTGATCTTATTTATAATATAAAATAAGCACAATTGTATACAATTGTAAAAAACCAATTAAGTGAATACCCAGAAAATAAATTAAATTTGAAAATATGAATGATTATTTATAATTTATATATGCAAATATATTATCAGATCAAAATACTTTTATATTTATTATGCTGTGTATACAATTTAATATAAATTCTTAGTAATATATCATTTTATATTATTGATCTATCTTACGCTTTAACATATATTGTAAAGCCATTTGTGCCATTGCCCATTAGTAACTTTATTTAATAAGTTGAAATTAAAAAAAAAAACATTTACGATTTTAAATAATTTATCAAAACATATTATATAGGTAAATATGTAATATTAAACTTTTAAAACTATTTAGTATTTATTTAATAAAAATGTGTGCAATAGTAATTTATAATTAGATACAAATAATTATTACCAACTAACAAATTATATCATGTATAATAATTATGGTTAATTAAAATACTATAACTAATGTTAAAATATCATTAAAAAAAAGTTACATATAACAAAAAAAAAGTTTTGAGTGAGAATATTTGTTAAATTATTTGTATATATAAAACTATAATTTACTTTTACAAACAATATTTTTATTTTTAAGTGTTGATATCAACTAACAGGAAGTTCTTAGGTCCAATCTAAAACGTATATATGTTTTCCTATCATTATTTTTACTATTTTTTTTTTTTAAATAGTTACAAACTAATTCATTTACAAATTAAACGTTATCGTTACGAAGATGAATGAGGAAACTTGTGTTAAATTTTTAAACCTAATAGATATTATAAAAACATTGTATGGTGTTTTAACTACAAAATAATTTATACATTTTCATGGTTTTGTAAACTTTTATTAAAATTTAATTTTAAAGTATTATTAAAAGAACTGGAACTTTTTACAATATATTTGTATTGCTATAAGAACTACTTATAAAAACTTTGTATTCAATTTTGAATATTTTTGACACACTAACGAATAAAAAAAAAAAAAAAAAAAAAAAAAAAAATCAAGATTCATATGTCTTTAAATAGCGTAAAACAAGAATAATAATTAATATATTAAAAAAATTATCTATTTATTTAATATTATATAATAATGCATGAATGATAAATATATCTAATTATTTGTTATACATTACGTTAACTATGTAATTCAGTAATTCATTTAGTTACGTAAAAATTTACTTTTTCCTGTTTATTTTGGCAAGTATCAACTGGAAAATTGTGTAACTGCGTTTATTATAGAAATTTCTTTTATAATTTAAGATCATAAATTTTCATAATAAAAATATTTAAAAAAATAATTTTATCAGGAAGCATATCATCCTAAAATTCATTAAATTTTAAAATCAAATTTGTATTAATATTCAGAATTATTTTCATAAAAATTGATAATTTAATAATTAATCATTTAAATGTTTAGATTTTTTTAGATTTTTGAATCAATAAATTAATTTCTTTCAAATTTCTCTTTATTTAAAAAAATTCTATATCGTATTCCAACATCATTATATTCTGATAAAAACTCATAAATATGTAAGTGCATCTTAAAATTATTATCAACGATATTAATTTTTTTATTTTTATTATTATATTTTACCTTTTACAAAAATATAACTTATAACTTATTATCATGTTGAACTTATAAGTCATATCGACCAATTCATAAAATATATAGATATCACAATAATCATGAATTAAATTAATATTCTCTTATAATTCATGATTACAATACAAATTTATCGGAATATCGCGTATGTTTTTGAAATTTTTGTGATAATCGAATCAGACTTAAAAGAATCCGCTGATTATATTTCGACTACGCCAATTATTGATTCCGTTATCTCTAAAATTTTATTGAATTTATAAATAAGTATATAGATCTTAATATTTGAAATTATTTTCAATGACATATATTATAATATATTTTAAGTACAATAAAGTGATGATTAGAAAAATTTTCTAGTCCGCTTTAAGTAAGGTTTTGTTAAGCCCCCACCTAAAAAAAATTACAAAATAAAAATAATTTATCCGTTGTACAAATTAGTACCTTTTTAATATTTTTTTTCAAACAATAAAATACATCAAATTGTTCAACATTAATATTTTAATTATTTTGTGAACTCGTTTTGCAGTATGATAGTACAAAACATGACTTACGTTTTTTATAACCACTTATTAAGAATTATACGAATCACAGAATTTTAACAACCTTCACACAAAGTAAGTTCAAAGTATCTAACCTCATGAAGATGTTTAACAGATTTGTATAAATTGATACAATTATCTTTATTATTCTCGTTAGTTCAGCAACCTATGAAAGTTAGTTTTATTCAGTGAGATGAATAAAGAATAACAATAAAGAAAGAGCAATTTTCAAATTTTCAATATATAAATATATAAAATAACATAACTAATAAACTGGAAACTAAAATAATTATCAATTTATCTTCTATTTATCTATAATACTATATTATAAGGAGCTGATATTTATTTTTTAAATCATCTGTGTTGTGTCATTTCATAAGTTTTAATCTACAATACAATATATGGATTTATTATTAGAAGATGCGGAATAAAGCTCTTACGGGTTTGTGGTGTCAAAAAAAAAAAAAAAAAAATTTAGTCTATTAAAAATGATATCCTAGTTGTGTCTGTGTGAGCACTAAGTATAAAACTAACTAGTTAGTTGATTGCATAAAATATACTGATCTACTAGTATCATGTGAATTATTATTTTGAATTTTATATGTATTTTTTTTTAATAAATTGTACTTATTAATTATACTATAAATCCGTAAAATGTATAGGTAAGTACCCATATCGTATAAATCATGATATAGGTAGGTATTTAAACAATTAAATTATACATAATATTAAACATTGATAGATTCGATGTTATAATTAAAAATCAGTTATATACATATAAATGAAGTCTATAATAATATAATGTTTGGAATCAATAGCCGGAAATGTAAATATATAATATTGTAATATTATACCTAGGTACTTTTTTTTTCAAACAAAATATTTCGATAGATATAGAGTTAATAAATTCCCATCAAAAAACTTTTTATATTTTGGTACTTATTATGTTTTTAATTTAATTTTTTTATAGGTATAATATGTATTTGCTGGATATTGGGTCTGCTGATAGGCTTCTTGCCACTAATGGGCTGGAGAGCTGCCAAAGGTCCATCATTGGACTCATGCGAGTTTAGTCTCGTAATGGATTATAGTTACTTGGTGTTTTTATACTTGGTGACTATTATTTTACCTGCTCTATTTATGGCCACCTCATATGCTCATATTTATACAGTCGTAATAAAACAAGTAAGTATTAAAAAATATCACGAGTAGAAATGTATATAATACACATTTAATAATATAAACAGTTAATACAAAATTGTCAACATGTTCAAACTATAAAATATGTTAAAAAATCAATGCTTATTTTACTATATTATAATTTGAATTAAAATAACATTTTTTCAAGAAATTTCTGGCAGCGAATAAATGAAAACTCGAATTTGCTTTAAAATATTATGAATACATCCAATCAATATACATCTAATTTATAGATTTTCAAGTTTCAATCAGATGATTTTTTTTTTCGATGCTGAGATTACATTTTTAATACGGACTTTTATTAATTTCACTGGATCTTTTTTACTACCAAGGGAAAAATGCAAGTATTTACATCAATTTCATCACAAAGACCACCCGAATTAACCCACTAATTCCGTCAAACGTTTCGAGATTAAAAAACTCGAGCTACTGAACAAAAATTGCTAACTGAAATCAATTTTAAGAAAAATAAATTTTTTAACATTCCGTGGAAATATATTTTCTATTAAAATAAAAATCTTAAGTAATACCTAGATGTAATAATAAACATTAATATTATACACTTTGTCAATTATTCGAGCGACACGGGTTCATCTAAAGAGCACTAATAAATATGTAATATTTTAAGGCTTTGAATGTGTTTGAAATAATTTTTCACAAGACTGTTGATACTATAAAATACAGGTGTTCCGTAAAAAATGTTCCGAGCCTTAAAAATCAGAACTTGATGACTTGCAGTTTTTATTTTTACCTGCTTTAATTTTGTTAGTGTAATTTATTAAATATAATATATGGTTTTTGAAACCAGGACATTATTTACGGGACACCCTGAACAATTTTATGCGCCTACCTATTTATAACAACGAGTGATTACCGGATACGGTGTTACGTCGTATAGAAAGATATCAAATCAAACCCGCAGTGCCGTTTCAGATCAAACAGATGACGCTGCTGAACGGCGGCCAACGCGGCGGCAACAGTCCGACGAAACTGCGTGTACTGGGCGCGGCCCGGAAAAGCGAGGTGAAAGCCACGCAGAACCTGTCCATAATCGTCGCGTTCTTCGCCGTCTGCTGGATGCCTTTGTACACCATCAACTGCGTGCAGGCGTTCTGCGACGATTGTCCGGTGCCCGAGTCCCTCTTGCACGGCTGCATCATCCTGTCGCACCTCAACTCAGCCGGCAACCCGCTACTGTACGCGTACCACCTGAAGGACTTCCGGAACGCGTTTCGGTCGCTACTGCTGTGCAAGAAGAGTCCGCGGCACCGGAACATCGCGCAGTCCCGGTCCGGATGCACCACCGTCGCAGCTGCCGTGACAGGCGGCGGCGGCGGCGGCATCGGAACCGGTGTCAACGGCGCCGACAGTTCTATCAGCTCGTCGCTGACGTGTTCGGGTGGTTCGTCCCGATCGACCGTCATCGACTGTTGGCGTCGGTCCGTCAAGTACTTCCGGTCTGCCGCCGCCGCCGACACAGCGTCGCGTGCAGGTGACGCGCGGTCGATCGCCAAACCGGACCCCCGCGAAATCGTTGCGATCGTAATCGACCCGTCCGCGCCCGTGTTGCTGTCTGTCCGTCAGCTCGTCGAGTGAACCACTCGGCGTTGGCGTTTAATGATGATGGCATGACACTGACGGTATACGATATTTTAAGCACAATATACTTTGTATATCGTTATCGGAACATTAATATTGTTAACTCGGTCGACAAGAACGTATTCGTCGCCTATCGTGTGTAGTATTATGTGTAAATAATAAAGCAACGTAGAGATCTCCGCGTGCTTTATCTCGGATGACTTGGTTACCGGTTTATCTCTGGTACTTTAAGTCACCTTCTTAACCGTGTATGTGTGTGTGTGTGTGTGTGTGTACGTGTGCGTATGTATAATTTATGTGTACAATATTACGCTACTCACGAATTTCGACGATTAAAACCTACATATCAAATATATCAAGTACAGGTATACGTCGTTAAAAAAAAAAAAAATACGGTTTTACTTAAAAAATGTATAAAAAAAATAATATAAAATCAAACGTTGTAATCATAAACTATTTATCCCGACAGAAGAGTGTTGCTCTATACACGTCTAATTAGCTAACATCTGCATGGTCGTATTGGTCAGTGCGTTTCGAAAGTTTGGTTTAATTGTATAGGTATTATTTAATTGTAAACTATTCAAAAATGCATGTGAAAAATATTTGTGTAATTTATAACGTTTCAATTTGTCAACCACTCCCGGAAACTTCGTTTTTGATCTGTCATTTTTGGACTTAACTGCAATTATATGAAAAACGACTTTTTATTTGAATAGGCATAATAACAAATACGTCTCCTAATTATACATAAATAGTAAAAATGTGTCGAGTGCTTACATACGTAAACAATATTGTATTATTACAAATCAGTTTAAAACATCCTATCGAATAGTATGTGCTTTCTTTAATATAGTCTGCTAACAATTATTTATCTATAGCCTATAGGGTTAAAGTTATATTTGCTTAAAATCACAAATCACAATATGCATTCACGATTGGAATAATTGTACAGTATACATAGTAACTAGTATTATTGACTATTGTTAATTACCTATGTGTTATAAATTATGATACTACCTCCAATAATAATCGAAGATGCTATAACTTTGCTTTTTCATTCGCATATTTCATTCCTTTACTAAATTTTATTTAAAAACACAGCCCCATCTCCTAAAACCAATAATACACAGATTGTGTAATTATTTCATATTTGTAACACCACTATGAACAAAACATGTATTATTCCACCAACTATTTCTAAGTCACTTTAACTATTGAATACATAACAATGTATTCTTATATTTTTTAAATAAATACCTAAGTAAAAAATAAATACTGTAGCATCAAGTTTATATACATATAAATATTAAAAACTTGTGTTGTGTACTTATACAGAAAGCTGAAAGCTTATAATTTGCATAATTTATAAAAATAATAATATCACGTATATACTTTATTAAAAATGGTCTGAGAGAAATTTTTTTCTAAGATAATTTGCTTTTGAATGATAAACATAGTGAATAAAATAATGTAACTCAATATAAATGTACAAATAAAAATGTTTTTACTGTTTATATAAGTATTTAGGTATATTATGTTAATAATTATGAAATTGTAGAGTTCCTTTGTATTTTTAAATTTTAAATTTACTGTTTTCACTGATACGAATAGATAAAATGTTATGAATTAGTGAAACCTCCGTTTAACAAACTTATATTAAACGAAACTCTCTTAACAGTGAAATATTTCATGAAGCCATAAAATTGTCATTCAAAAATTTTTCTATTTAATGAATTTATTTGGTGATATTTCTCTAAAATAAATTTAAAAACTATTGTATTTTTACATATTCATAAATTATACACTCGTTAATCAGACTAATTTTTATAAGTTTGACCGTTTATATAGTCAGGATGTCAGAAAGTCCTTCGACAATAAAGAATAAAAAAAAAAACTAAAATGTACATACTATTATAATATTATTAAAAATTTTTATTTTTATTTTTATTATTTTATTAATATTATAAATTCTTATTTACACACATTTCGTAGACTAAAAATTATTTTTTATGTGAAAAAGTCTTATTTTTTTTCAAAGAACCTTTAAGTTTAATAAATAGAGGTTCCACTATAATTAATTGAGATTTCTTTATTATTATTATAAAATTAAAACATCTATGGTTATTAGCCTGATATACATAAAGTTTTGAGATAAACTAAAACTTTAATTTTTTCAATAATTATTATAAATTATATTTCATCCAATATATACGACTAAGAGTATCCATTGTATAAATTCGTTATTATTTTACATTTTTAATAGGTATTAAAGTAAATTATAAAGTGTATAACTCCTAGTCTGGTCGTAAATATTATCTATGAGTTATGAGCTCATTTTTTTTATCTCTAAAGGAAAAATGATTTGAAATATGTCCTATTGTTTTAATTCACATATCATCTACTCATTAGTTATTACTGTATAGCATATAGAATATAGATATTTAAAAGTAATTGCTATCGTAATTTAGGTATGTATATCATGTTTTATTTTTTACAAATGTTAGAATTTTTACAATTATTTATTAATCGATAATCATATAAAGATAATAATATATACTAGTAATAAAAGACATAGTCTTCAAATCAATTTAAAAATAAATAAAGACTTTTTATACATTTTATTTATAGAACATTATTATGTTTTGTCATATTAAAATTAAGTATTATTATTATATATTTTATTTATAGAACATTATTATGTCTCGTCAGTATAACATTAAATTATTACAATTAGGAAACAAATTTAAAATTCTAGAGAGGGCAAGTGCCCCGTCTTGCCCTCCTCCTAAGGACGGTCATGATAAAAGACAAATATAAACGAGTATATATAAGAAATGCTTTTTAAGTATTTATAATATTATTTATGGTTATACAATACTAAACATTTTTTTTTTTTACTATGTTTATTCTTCGAGCATAAGGGTATTCGTTTTTTATATACTTTTACATTTTTTAAATATCTGGCAAATAGGTTTCATTATTTTATATATTTTTTTATAAATTATACAGCTTAACTTTGTTATTCTAACGTTTGCTTGATTTCATTGTATGTACAGGTTAAATTAAAAATAATAATAATAATGTGATGGTTGAGTTTCTGGTTTAATCTCATGTTTCGTCCAAGTTGTGTGGCGACTGGTGCTTATGCTGATATGACTGTTGATACAATAGGGATGTCATAATATTGTTATGTGATTAACTGACGACTGTTAATATTGTCATACTAATTTCACATAATGTCAGTTGATTATTTTTTACATTTAAGAAAATATATCTACTATATATCTTGGATATAAATATACCCACTATCCAATAAAAAGTTTTTTTTTATTATTGTTCATTCATAATATGTTTTTATGGTTAATTTTTAGATATAATAACATTTCGTCGACGAACTATATATAGATATCTACTTACAATTTTATTTTTATTTGATTTTGAATAATAAAAAATCTATAAGTAGTAAAATAGTTAATATAGGTAGTAGGTACTTTTAGCTATTCATTATACTGAAGGTCGGCAATAGGCAGGATTCACACAACGATATTTGTGTTTTTAGATTATTCTGCTTTAGTGAATTTTAAAAAGTACATAAAAATCTAGGAATTTTAAAGTATATTTGTAAATTGTAATATTACATAAATTGGTTAATTAGTGAACAAAAAAATAATTTCAAGTGCGACTTGATCCCCCAAAACTGAAGGGCTAATGAATTATGTCTATGTTTACAGTCATAATGTTTTACTATCATAGTATTAGTTAATAGCCTTCACAAATGTAACTATCGCGTTTTACTGTCATCGAAAATTAGGAGCATTGTCATGTATACATATTATACAATATACTAAAAAAAGTATTAAGTACACATTAAAATACTCTAGTAAATTATAGTTGTAATTAATATATAAATTAATATATTACCACTAGATATTAAATATATAAATATATAGATATATTATATTATATTATATATATATATATATCAGCTTTTTATCTAATTACTACAATTACTATATACCCTTAATATAATTTGTGATTTTGGAATTATACAATATAGAGACACAATTAGGTACATATAAAATAATAATAACCAAATACAAAAGTAAGTACCTACTTAATAATAAATAAATAATTAAATAAAAAATATAGTTCAAGTTTTTTTCTTATTATTTAGCTTTACGGTTCAAGTTAAACAAAGAATGAGTTACCAATATCTACAGATGTATCTAACTTTTAAATAATAATTTAAAAGAGTCAAATATATATTATTTATATGAGTTAAGTAATATTAAATTTTATAAGTGACTGAACATTATTTGTTTTAATTACCTACTTTAATATAATAACATAATATTATAACATTTAGTTTAAAAAAAAAAATAAGTGCCTTGTGTAATAAACTTAAAATAGTGATCGAAACACCGATAAGAAAACGGTTTGTACCCACGATCTTATAAAAAAATTATGTTTTTTATAGATACAAATCTAGAAATGTAGGCTTATTTAATATTTTTAAATGAATATAAAGTCTTACATTTATAATTGTTTTAATAAAAATATTAAAAATAAGTATTTATAAATATAATATGTTGACTGAAATAAATTTTTGTTATAGTTAAATCGTAAAACTAAATTTAAAAAATATATTTTGGCGTATTTTTTATCAATGATTCAATGTAGATCATGTTTATTATTATTAACTAATTATAGGTATACATTACAACATTATTATATTTTTAAAAACTTCAATAATATATATTATCTATATTTTATTTTTAGCTTATGTATGAATTAAATTCATAAATAAATATATTATAAAATATTTTAGTAGACCATTATACTAATTTAAGTACTCGTATTTTATTTCTGTGTTTAATAAAAATAGTATATTAGCATTGTAAATAACTGCTATATTTAATGTTATATATTATCAATGTATATCTAATCAATTATGATTTAAACATAAAAACTACAACTTATAATTATAACAAATATATTTATACCCACTCCAAATTTAATAGTCTAAAATATGTTAGAAATTATTGATCAGTTAAATTTTTAATTTTTTTTTTTTATAATACTGTACAAGATTTATGGTTTTTTCTATTTATAGTAATAGACTTTAATTTTTTATAAATTGTGTAAAATTTATTTTTATTATACATTACAAAATTAAGTCAATAAAAAAAAAAAAAATACAATTAATCTGTAAAACAGAATTCATCCTGATTAAAATTCCTTACTCCATCAACATGCATAAAAAAACCTAAATAAATTATTATCACAATTTATTTACAATATGGTTCATGAAAAAGATCCTACTAAGGATTATTCATAAACAACCTAAGACAATAATAAACACAACTAGTATGTTGTAGACAAGTAATACTACAATATACTGATATCCCCAAAAATTTTCAATGGAAGGATATATTATCTAAATATAAGTAATCGTAAATTTCGAAGGCAAAATAAAAGACACCATAAAAACGGGGTTTAAGGAGTAAAATTATTAATATGATTTATAACCATATAGACTAAAATAAAAAATCTATTGAATCTATTAAAAGAACTATTTTAAGTATACCATACTCAATGCTTTTAATTGTGTAATATGTAGATTTGCATATTTTATATTTTAGCCTATGCTATGATATATAGTACATTATATAATCCATAAATGTTAGAATACATTTTCCTTGCAATGTCAGAGTGTCCAATCTAGACGACGGCTAGGTTAAAATAAGAAAAGGCACTTTGAAAAAAAAAGTAAAGTAATGGATTGCATATAAATAATAAGTAATTCCTTTTAAGATTACTGATATAGGTATCCTATTTGATAAAATTTTTGTACACGTTTTATAAGGGTAATATTAAACATGTGAAGTATTATTAAACAATACGTGATTTGGAACATTTTGCGTATTAACTTTATCACAAGAATAGAGAGACGTACCAAAATAAAGTTAAAATCTTCATAAAAGTATGTTTTAGGTGTAAAAAAAAAAAATATTAAAAATTATTTTTTTAAATTGATATTAGGTTAGGGAAACCTATTACTGATAACTTCCATATACAATATAAATGTTTTAATTTTAAGTAAATTTGCCAGAAAAGAATCTTCATACGAAATTGAAAACTAAAAATGCATGAATAATGATAATATATCAAACATTATATTCGTAACAAACATTTTTTTGAAAATCCTTATTTTCACTATAATATTTCTAAAAATACATATTTCTTGCCGTTTTATTATTGCTTAATTTTAAAAGGAAAGGAGTGTCTTGTGAATATAAAATTTAGGTAAGAATTTAATTATTCAATTATTTTTCTTTAGTTCACAAAGGGCAGCGTTTTTCTAAATATTTAAATCTAAATTTGAAATTCACAAAACACTTTTTCACATTTAAGACTAAAGAACAATGAAACGGTAAGAAACATGTACGTAATTCTGACAATATCATAATGAAAATAAAAACTTTCAAAAAAATATTTTATCGAATGCAGTGTTTACTGGTATTTATGCAATTAAAGTTTTGACTTTTGAATTTCATATGAAAGTAATTTGTTAGTAAAATGACGTAAAATGTAAAATACAATGAAATGCATGCAACAAGTGTCATAACACAATACACAAACATAATGAGTTATTAACGTTTTAAACTAAATTATCCTACACAATGCTTTTCGTGATAACTGATAAATTTAATAATACCAATGAATTTTCTCTGTTTAAAAGTCTTTATTCATAATAGTCATAACACTCAAACCAGTCAAACCTATTACATTGAAATTATATTTTAATGATACTTATTTTCTGCATCTCATCTAATGGTGAATACGAAGTTTCAAAATTCAAAGTTTATTCCTTTACTTAGATTTCGTATCAAATGTGGTTTTCATTTTTAATTTTGACATTTTTTAATATTGATATAGGTACTGTCAATTATTATAATTATTGTTAATTATTTTTTATACATTATTTTTTAAATTGATTTTTTTTATTTATATTGATGCAATTAACCGGTACACGCAATAACTAAAAGCAGGATTATGTACCTAAATTATATTATACGTTATCGATTTTTATATGAGCTGGTAAAATTTCAAAATGGCCTGCTTGAAACCTCGCACAACCAAAAAAAAAAACCCTGAAATGACGACCCTGCATAATACATGTATTAATGTATAAAATAGATATTTAATAAATAATTGTTTAACAACTTGTTTTAATATAACTGATGTAATCGATATTTAGTATTGAATACCTATCCCTAATCACTAGTCACTATAACTTTTATAATGACAATATTGACAATTATTACTTATTATTTATCCATCTTGAATCTTGAATTGCATCTGAAAAACATGTTTTTATGTGAGCGAATAAGCCCCTTTTAAGATATGTGTAGACAATAATTATGCAGTATTCGCGGTTACCGTCTGCCTTATCAGAATTGACAAGTAAAAAATGCACTGGATAAACGTTCGTTCTGCCCATGATAGACTACTTACTTACCGTTTATCGGAATCTAACCGTGGTATTCGAGTCACCTCGCTTAACAGTATACTAGAAATGTGGTATATTTCGATCTGTGATTATCGCGGTCTTAGAAATGTTTTGATAAGATATAGTACATTATCACTGCTTTAGAGTGGATCGTACATGTTTATTGTTTACTTTACTTTCTGTTATCGTCGATAAACGGACGGCAAGGTTTTTTTTTTTCAAATCGCCATTCGCAACAGTCTTTTGGCGCTTCAATTTTTTTGTAAATTGGATTCGAACAATCCAATTAAAGTGCGCCAACATGGTGTACTTACACTTTCCGACGAATTTGACCGAAGAAGAACTCATGCTGCAAAACAAGTATCAGAAGTTGAGAAAAAAGGTAATATTACTCAGATGCGAATGTCGCGTTGTACAACTCCCATTGTATAATTTTTGTAAACATTATTTCTAGAAAAAAGCATTGCAAGTGCAAAAAACACCACGCCCTGAGCCTGAGCCTTCGCCTGTACTCAATCCCAAAAGGCCCAAAGAAACGGCTCGCGACGCTAGGGAAATAGCAAAAAAACTATTGAAGTCTGGGGCTATAGGACCGATAAAAAAAGTACCCAATCGTACAGATCAGGAGTCATTTAAGAGACCTTGTGGAATGGAACGTAAATTATTGACTACTACTCAGGCTTTGAGTAGCTATCAACCGTTTTCAGCAGCTTCTCCAGTCAAGACTGAAGTCATTCCTGATAGTACTCCAAAAGCAACTCCGACTACTAAATTCTCTGTATATATGATACTATAACTTGGAATAACCTATGTTTTTAACTGTTTAAACCTTCTTTTGGTTGTAGAATTTGTATAGTAGTTTTGTTTCTTCCACTTCTAAAACCACTTCACCAGCTCCAAGTTCTCCAGAACCTGTTTCTGAAACTCCTACTCGTAAAGATATCACTATATTTGTTGGAGGAAGTAGTTCAATGACTGAAGAATTTTTAAGATCTACGTTCAGTAAATTTGGTACAATAATTAACATATCAATGGAAATAGAAAAAAAAGTGAGTTTTATAATATTTTATTTATTTCAAAAATCTAATTCATTAAACAATTTTATTTTAGTCGAGGGTTCATCACTTTCAACTCCCCAGATATTGCTGAGAAAGCAGTAAATCAAGTAATTAATTCTAAATATTTAAAAAGTTATTTTTATAATTCATAAATTTTAATGTTTATATAGATGAATACTACCACAGTATCTGGTATTAAACTAAAAGTTTCAATTTCCCGAAATCAGCCTATTGAATTCGGTGATAAAGGAATTAATTCATGGAACGCTATTGGTAAGCGCTTTATTAATAATCTTAAATTTTTAATTCATTATTTGAAATAATTTGTATTTATCTACATATTACATATTGTATATTTAAATAAGCAAAGTGATAATTAATTAGAAATATTTATTATTAATATTAAAAATTCTTTTTTTGCTTTAAAATATTTGTACAATGATTTGAATATTATTAGAATAAATTAAAAATATTCATTGAAGATTAAAATTAATATATTTTTATAGTAAAGATTGATTTTTCAATTATACCATATCTTGAAAAAGTGTTGTCGCTAGGTAATCAGCAAATCAAATATACATACCTTTTAATAATCTTTTAGCTGTTCAGCACTTATGCTTATTATACCATAAATGTATAGATAGTGTGATTTAAAATTAAAAAAATTATTAATTTTAAATTACAATACATTAAATTATCTATGTAAATTGAATGCACAAATATATATTTATATTGATATTAATTAATATATTGAGGATTCATAAACCATGCTTATCTTTTCCCATGTTCCTCCAACATATCTTTTAATGATGAATTTATTTAAATTCTGAATTTTGTAATTTTAAGTATACTAGCATCATATTTTTAAATGCTTGGATTTTCATACCATTTAAAAGGGAGTTAAAATCATGTATTGATACCTATTTTTTTTTTGATCTTGTTATTTTATACTAAGTGTTAAACATAATAACTTGGTTCTAATTTGAAAAAAAAATGAGGTTGATATTGTCATGAAACACTCTTTAAATGGTATAAAAATCTAAATCATTTAAAACAATATATTCCATAGCTAAACTTAAAAATTAAAATATAATATTATATTTATTATAAAAAGAAAAAATGAGGGAGCACTACGCTGCTTGTGCAATGAATAATTCTGTATTATAAATTATAATACTAAAATTTTCATTTAAAATATCACAATTAAGATTTTTTTTTTTCACTTTTATTGAATTCATAAAAATAAATGAATAAGATAAAACGTTTAATATAATAATGAATTAGTACTTAAATGAGTCACTTATAATAATATTGTATTATAATATTCAATACTTAATAGGTTAAGATTTTTGAACCTTTAATATAAATGTATTATGTAGATATTTTTTACATATTCTAGTTGTAATGTACAACAACTATTTTATTTAAAAAATGTTAGACTGTTAGAGTATCAAATATGATTTATTAACATATTTCTTGTCATATAACTCTTACGCTAATCTTTTCTTGAATTCAGCTTAATTGTTACCAAAAAATTATTTAAAATTTAACCCACGGTGAAAATATACTTTTATTCAGAAAATATAAACAAATAACTTAAATGGTTACAACATAATTAAGATACACAGCTTTTAATTTTCAAAACTAATGTATATTATTTTTTAATTCTAGCTACTAATAAATCTCAAAAAGGAAATCAACGAGATGATCGTTCGCTGGTGACATATGATGATTTATTTTCATAAATTGTTTTTAATTATTTTAGATTTTAATTGTATAGAGAGATTTTTTTTTTGTCATGACTGAAGGCTAAAAATAATATGTTTATGTAATTTATTATATTAATGTATCTTTTATAAACTATTTATTAAAAAAAAAAAAAAAAGTGTTGTTGATTTATTCTATAAATTACATTATTGTTAACTTAAAAAATGAATTTAATAACTTGTCATCATAAAATGAGTTGTGTAACTAATATTGTAGTTACCACAAACATATGGCTTTTAATAAAAAATATAACTTTGAGATTTCAGTTATTTATGCAGAAATACAGATTTTTAATCTAGATTCTAGAAAATATTTATTCTTTAGATAACCATACAAATTAAAGATTAAAGTTATAGTTTCGCATTTATCTACTTATAAAGCTTGAATGAAACAAAACCTTTAAAAAATAAAATAATATCTGTGCCAGAAGTGTCTAATGACTTATAAATTGAACATTTGATGATTTGATAATTTTGATTTGGTATATAAAAGGACTAGATACATTAGATAATTGGTTTGTAGCCAAGTAATAGACATTTTGTTCTCTGATCATACCTATTGTATTGAATTAACAATTTGTGATTTCAAATGTTACATGCTAATGTAGAACTAGACATCTGTAAATTGCTTCTAGTAATACTTGCTAGTAGTAAATCTTAAGAATTCATTTTGGCATTTCTACTCAAATCTATAATTTTTATTTAAGTTAATCCTAGTCTAAACATTAAGGATAATCGAGAGTGTTTTTAATCCACTTTGTGTTACCCTGTTAAACATAATATAGCGGAACATCATTAAACATTTTAATTAATTAATAAATATTTTTTAATATTCCTACCAAGTCTGATATACCTACATACATAGTATTTATGTTCTAATTGCCGTTGTTGAGTTTAACGGTCAATCCGTTTACGGATTCATACGAACAATAAAAAATAGCAAATATAACGTTTTTAAATAAAACAACAATGCGTTTCAAAAATATTTTTGAAAAATAATTGTGTAAAACGAAATCGTAAGGAAAAAGTTAGGTACATAAACGAAAATCGTAAAAGTGTTAGGTGTTTTGAATTTAAGCTCTAAAAATCATCTTTTACCGGTAGGCCAATGACAGAAACGACTGTTGTTTTTATGTATAGAGTAAACATATTTTTCAACAATCGTGCTATACAATTGAACATTAAAATATCGAAATGCAAAACTTAAAGAAACAACGATCGGTTAGCAACAATAACAATAACAACAACTGTAGAACCCACTGCGACAACCCACGATGGGTGGTGCGTGGCTACTGATTGGGGGGGAATTGAAAATCCCAGTGGTGATGGTGTATAGTCTTCTCGTTGCCAAAGCCTAAGATCAGGAGACCTGCGAGTATGATGCTCAGGAAGCACAGGGCGGCTTGCAGGTCGCGCCGCTTCTCCGTGTCCTCTGGAACCACTTGCTGGACGACTTTGGTGAACAGACTGCACACGTTCGAGTGACACAACCGGAACAGCTGACAGCTGAGTTCGGTGATAGACGGGTCGGCGGCGGACAGATCGACGGCACCAACGGTTCCTGGTGGTCTGCCGTTTTTGTCGTGGTGGTTGGCGTCGATGGTCGAACGAGGCGAGGACGGCGGTTTGCTGCGTCGACGTGGTGGTGTGGGCGCGGCCAACACGCTCGCGATCCTCGTCCGAATCGACTTCAGACATGGACGACACGCGCGAGGACTGAACCGACGCGTTGTCGTCCTGCGGCAAAGTGCGCAGGTCGTCGTCCGCAGCCGCGGCTTGAACAGCGGCGACGGCAGCGGCGTCCTGCTGCAACTGCTGCAGAGACGGATGCTGAACCGCAGCGGACAACTGAGCGACCTTTAGACTCGATCCGGACACGTCTTCGACGGCCATCCGCTGGCCGAGTATGTCGGCCACGATCATCCTGCCCACCTGTAGCTCTTCGACGGTTATGCGTTGCGCTCGCACCGCGGCGACGCCGTTCGCAACGGTGCCCGCTGTGTCAGACACCATCGCGTAATCGTTGCAGCTGCAGTCGTCTGCCGCGGTCACCGACATGCCGGACGTCGGCCGGTCAACGTACTCGGTGGCCTGGGACGACGTCCGGGATCTAGGTCGGTCGGCGGTCAGCGTTTTCGGCGCGAGGTGTTGCCGAGACGTCGTTCCTCCAGACTTTGTCGCCGGGCCGTCTCCGGACTCGGCCGAACAGCAAGACGCGTCGTCGCGGTCGTCCGCCGCGTAATCGTCTGGCGACGGGTCGGTCTGGACGGCCACGGACACGTCGTCGGTGGCGGCAACGGTGTTTCTGGCGGCGGACGCCAACAGAGCGCGAGAAACGTCGGCAAAAAAATCGTTAGACGATGTTACAGACGTTTCTCGCCGATCTAAAAAAGGGACCAGGGCCGAATCGGTGTTCCTGCGCCCGTGAAGTTCGGGCGTAACCGCGTCGTCGGCCGCTCTCGACTTGCGGGGCGGCGGTGGCGGTGACGGCAAAGGCCGGAGTTTCATCTTCTCGATCACGTCGCCCGAGCACAACGCCGCCGCCGGTTTGGCCGTCCCGTCGGTCCTGTCCGCGCCTCCGTCGTCGTCGCCTCCGTCGCGGTGACCGCCACCGCCGTCGTCGGCCACGTCGCCGTACTCGTGTTCGCGGGCCGGTAACCGGCGCCGAAGGGGTCGAGACGGTCCCCCCAGGGTGTTGTAGGCGCGTGCGGGTCTCGACGGCGGCGGCAGTTTGGCGGTGCAGCTGGCGTCTGCGTTCCCGGACGGCCGAGCGTTCCTGTCGCAATAGCTGTACGACCTCGGTATGGTGAAAAACGCTCCGAACTCTTGACTCTTGATCACGTCGTACGATTTTTTCCTCCTGTGACGCACCGGCGACTGTGGCGGTATCAGCAGCGACGCCGATTTGTCCACCGTCGCGTAACCAGCGACCGCGGCCGATGTCGACGGTTGCGGCGGGGGCGGTCGCGGGGGCGTCGATCCCGCGGACCTCGCGGCCGCAGTACCGCTGACCGCGTGGCCGGCGGCCGTCGCAGACCGCTCTTCCACGTCCGCGTCCGACGTCAGCGACATCCGCGAACGGCGCAACGGCGGTGTCGGCGCTCCCGCGCCGCTACCGTTGACTGCCCACGGAGGCCGGCCGCCGTTGTTGTCGGCGCCGGCCGACGAAATATCGCGTTCGGAACCGGCCAACGAGGCCCTGGACCGACGCATCGGAGCTTTGGGCACGGTGTCTGAAAAGTTCATTGACTGCTGGAATCCCTGGGGATGAAAGAGGAAAAAATTTGTCAGATTTAAATAAATGAATTAAACCGTGTGTGTAAAGGGTGTAACCCGTGGCTGTGAGTATAGTCCTGCAACTTTTTAGATCCCATAATATTTTCTTAAAATTATATATTAACCGTAACTTATACCTATAACTAATTTTTACTTTACTAACGCGTACGTCTCAACAACCGTTTCAACAGTTGTACGTGCTACTTTTGGTACGCCATTTATAATGTATTTGTATAAATAATACAATACCGAAATTCTGAATAAATTAAAGAGAAATATGACCTAACGAAATTTTTAATTTATTTACATTATATTATATACGTAAATACGTTTATAAAAAATGTATCAACTTCTCTAAGTCTATCGTAAGCTTGTGTTAGAGTGGAGAGCTATCGATTGAATTACACAATATTAATAAAAAATTAAAAATCGTATAACGCATAGTTACACAGATATACTTACTTTTGACTTGGGGAAAGGGGGTTAAGTCCTCTCTTATTTGCGCTAACCTACGTAACCTATAACATCTGTATTACGAATTACGATATCGTCGACCGACTTCCTTTTTTTATATCTATTAGTTATTACTATAATTTTTATTTTATACTATCGAAAACTTCCGTAAAAGTATACCATTTTATTCCAATTAATTATTCAATACTTGGGGTTAAGTTACGCCAATTATATGCACTTATCGTATGAACGGAATCGCTAAATAGGTAGAAATCTACCTATATTTGTGTATGAACTATGAAATAAGAGCATATTTTGACATTCTTGTGATTTTACCGCTATAGCCTATGTTTCCAGTGTTTAATTGTTTACACATTTCCTGACAAATCGTATTTCAGTAAAAATAACAACAATACGATAAATAATAATAACTACTATATAAGTACATAATCGTATACAAGTGCATATATTATATAATAAATATTATAGGTACATTTTTTTAGCTGTAATAATAATATACAGCTTTTTTTGCGATTCGAAGAAATTAATTGTGTATTTATATATATGTGTATTGTATGTATATATAAGTAGCCTAAAAATGTTTTAAAAAACAATGGTTATGAGTTTATAACATATGACTCATTGTCGGCAAGAAATACCGAATATGGATACGATTTTGAAGCTCTTAATATATACAATTTCAGATAAAAAATAATATAAGTCGATTGACGACTGAATACTTGAATTTTAAAAATATAGATACAAAAAGTACCAAAAGTGGATTATTTCGAGAATATTTAATGTTACTGCAGATGTATCATGGACGATCGTATCTAAAACAACAGTGATTGTGACTTGAGAAAAAAAAGTAAACATAAATAAAACTGATTAAAAAATACAGATGGGAATGAATTAAAAAATTTATAAAATTATCACACAAAAGATTTGATGAGTGAGAGTCGTTAAAAATGAAAATAAAATAATATTTATGTAGAATAGAAAAATTAATAATACGACTAACATTATTGGTATGAATAAAATAAAAGCTAGAGAATTTATTTTTTCTATATAGTATGTTTCGAGTGAATTCGCTATTGTGTGACTACACTATAATATATATAATATATATATTTTGTTAATTTCGAATTTCATGATTTTTCATTGTATACGGTAAAAACGATTATGTGCAAAGAATATAAGAGATAAATGGGTCGGCATCTATTTCTAAGAATTTTTTAAGACACCTTAGCGAGTGTACTATAACTGCAGTATTTAACTGAAATAACTCGTAAAATATATTGTAAGTTTACATTTAATACGCTCAGAATTTCTATATCATCAAAGTATTATTATTAATAAATTTGACAATATTTATCCACAATTTTAATCTTTTTCAAAGTTTAATGATATACTTTTACCATCCACAATTACGTATCATTTGCTTATATAATTATAATATGATTAGTAATTTCTTAAATATATATTTATAGGTTGAACTAATTTTTGTAAAATAAATTACATGTCAGTACTAAGTACCTACGTATCGAGCCAAAATATTTCGAAAATTATATCATATCTAGAAAGTGCCAATATAGTATAAGTATTGTTATTTAAAAAAAAAGAAGCAAAATCGAATAGTCAAAAAGGCGTTATGTAATATTACCTATTTCTTATTACTGTTTGTTAGATTTTTCTACTTTCAAGTTATTAAAAAAAAAATCTTGAGAACTTCCTATATCTAATCCAAAATTCAAAGCACAAATTTACAAAAAATGCTACTAGAAACCGCCCTTAACGTAGATGATTGGAGCAAACTTACTATAAAACGTAACAACAGAAAAAAAAAATCAAATGGGAAAACCAATATATTCCTTGTTTCATTTATAATCTTAAGTTATAAAATTGTAACTGTTTACAAATACGCGCATTTAAATATGTTAAATATATAGGTGAATAGAGTATTATTACTTAACAGTTAATACATAAACATGTATACGCCTGGTAGTCGGTAAAAACTAAAAAGCTAACCTTAACAAAAGTATAAAGGAAATAGTATATCTATGTATAAGTAATATACATATATTGTTTATCATAATATATAAAAACTTTTAGTAGCTTTGTAGTGATTTACGAGATATTTGTTTAATATTTTTTACATTTATATTTGCTTATACTTTTTAATTTTGTTTTCAGAAATTAATATTTTAGATCGTTATTTTGGATTTTTTATTTTGTCACAGTGAACAATTATTAATGTTAACAGTATAGTCTGTAAAATAACACTCAAGCTCAGTTTTAAAATATTTATTGTTCGAGAAAACGTGGTCGCGCCCAATATACAAATTTAAAAGTTATCTATTTTAAATAGTGCTCTACGGTCTACGGTGTATATATATATATATAGTATATACTTACGATTTGTGACTGGCTTCTCTTTCTGGACAAATCAATCATCGACCGCGTGTCAAATGTGGAAAACTTAGCCAGGCGTTGTCTGGTCGGTGGTTTTGGCGGCATATTTGTAACAGCGGCATCAGTTGTGTGCTTGACGGAAGTCCTCCAGGGAACTCTCGATAGTAGTATTAGATTCTGTGACGGTTCAAACGTCTGACTAGTGATAATATTCTCAGGAGTGTATTCTTCCACTTCTTTTTTTAACGGCCTGGTGCCACCGAACGATTTCGGCATCGTGCTAAACCGATCGGCGACATACGATCGCTCAGTGTTCGAATCTATTGTAGTTTGCCGATTAGGTCTCCTTAGCGAATTGGTCCGCGACGGTCTCACCGGCGTGGAGATACCACTACTCGAGTCACAGTTGTTTCTTGCAATCGTGCCGCTCTCGTTATTGTTAACGCCTTCCACGGACCGTGTCCGGTTCGATCGAAAAACGTCTCTGATTTCTGATGACAAGTAATTGCTGATGTGCACGTCTCCACGACTTAGACCTTTCTCGCGTAGGAAAAACTCGTCGGAATCAATTTCTTCGATCACGCCCGATCGGTGTTCGGACAAGCTTTTCGTGTCCTTCGATCGACAGTCGTCGCTCAGCGATATCACTTCCTGTAGATCGCTGTCGCCAAATTCCGCCAACGATTCCTTGGATACCAGTAGTTGAGGCTCGTCTAACTCTTCTTCCACAGCCAGCGTAGCAGTCTGTTCTTGCGTTGGAGCGGGCGTCGACTCCTTGTGTGTCCGAAAAAAGCGCCGATGGAAAGAGTCCTTTCGTTTGTAATTGTTTTGTTCTGGCTCTATTCCGTCAGAGGATGGTGGTGGTGTTTTTGCTTTGTTCACCGCGTTTGTTTTCCGACGTTTTGAAAATATTCTTGGATATGTGCCGAAATCCATTATCCGAGATTTCGGACTGTCAGGTTTCGACATTTTTGATGCGTCTGACCAAGTACGCGTCCGGAAACTCGGTATAGACAGCCGAGAACCACCAATTTTCATGGATTTGGTCGGTTTCGGGGATTCCGACGACGTCCTGGATAATCCAAAACGTGGCAGGGAGAACCGACCACTCTTCGTTTCATCTCGGCCACTTTTGGTCTCGTCTGTGCTAGATTCGTTCGGGTCCACAGATTTTCTCGAAAAATGTCCAAAGGTTGTAGAGAAGTTCACTTTGGGTGCATTAAACGTGAACTTTTTCGGCAAAGTGGCAAACTGGCCGAACTTGCGGCGGGACTTTTCGCCATTTGGCGTGTCTACGACAATTTTTTGTTTAGGTTTCCGTTTGGTTACCCCTTGCAGCTTGGTACGTAGTATATCTGCTTTGACTTTAAATTTTTGTTGGAACACCTTCATACGCGTATTACTAGACTCCATATCGCCCACAGATGAGTTTTCATTTTCACCCTCATAAGTCGATTCGTCGGATCGTACAACTTTTTTATCGATATTTCCGTCGTCGTCGTCATCATTTTCCTCTTCGTCATCGTCTTCTTGGTCATCATCATTTTCGTTGTCTTCGTCATCTTCCTCTCTAGCTAGTCGTAGTTGTCGTTGTTGTTGCTGATCGCTTTCGGGTTCCGAACCCGTGTCATCAGCCATTACAAGTTCTTCCGTCAATGGTATGCGTAGAAAATGACGATTTTCATCTTTTTTCGAATTCGCGACAGGCGGAGATATCCGGTCAGCGTTAGCTGCTGGCGTGACGGGCTCATATACGTGATCTCTAAAAAAAAAATATAACGTTATCAAAAACAGATCGGGCCAAACATATTTTAAATATTTGCACCAGAAATAATGGCTGGTTCACGTGTGAACACACGCCGAAAAAAAATCCGGCGTAACGACAGAAGGGTTAAATTTATTTATTATTTGGCGACAATGACAGAGACAGTGGATTCGACATGCCAAGAATCTTCTCGTGAGAGAGCAAAAACTTATTTATAGGTGTTTGTTGGTCCGGAGCTAAAAGTAGACGTAGTGGTTAAGAATCGTCGTGTACCTATATACTCGTACAGTATAATATTTTTTATTTTTTTGTTAATTTATTCATTTAAACGATGATAAAATATTTAAAATTGATAAACCAACGCACGATAGTACTATGTTCAACGTAAAAAACATAAATCATACATCTACATCACAATAAAAATGCATCGTTTTATTGTTATTAGGTATAGTATACAAAATATAATATAATGTGTTGGTAACGATTGTCGTATAAATATAGAATAGCTATAAAAAAAAAAAAAGTTTGGATAAAAACGCTAGGTTAATAGCTGTAAAATAATGCTTTTTAATTATATTTATACACGCCCAAAAATAACGACCCGATTTTATACCAAATATTAAATTTAGTAACTTCATAAATAAATATTTTAAATATTTTTCTCTTTTTGTGTCGTTAAATGAGTCACATCAATTTAATGATATTATAATTATACTCACCCCATGTCTGTGCGTGTCTTATATTAAATCATGCAGTACAAATTTTCAAGTTACTCGTAATTACGAATTCAACTGTGTGCTTGGCATCTTTGGAGGAAATTTAATCTGTTGTTCAATGGTGTCGGAAGACCAGCGGCTACAAATGATTTCCGGACTACACTGAATCGTTGTAAAGCTACATTCCCCGGTTTCGACATCGCCGCCACGCGCTACACAATCGCGCTCGATTATACGGAGAGAAAAATCGAAATTACCGTAGCGGTTGCCAAATGCGTTTTGGCCGTCCGGCATAACCCGAATATTCAGACGAGAAGAGTGCTTGTTTTTTTTTTTTTCACTACCAAGTTCCAACAAATATCATCTCTGGGCCAATATAGTCGAGATTTTTGTCATTTTACATAGCCAAATGGTATATTTACCGCAGTCTGCTGTAGGTATTTAATAATATATATAATACCACGAGTGTCAATGCACTCGGTATTAAATCGATTAAAACATCGATCGAAATCTCAATCGAAATAGTTTACTCACGTTATATTTACATAAATGTATTGTACGTACATGGAATCATTAAGTTTATTCGATACAGACGAATACGTTTGAAAATAAAAATAAAATTGTCTTATAATATAGTAACTACATTTATAATTATATGTCATATCATTAGATCGTGTATTATTGTCATAAACATCCGGTGAAAACAGTTATATTCTGATATTTTGTAGTCTATATCAAAACAGGAAACGCGAATAAAAGTGTAAAAACTATTGCATCTTTAGTACAAAATAGTATTCAATAAATTTAAGTTTCAAAAATATAATTTAAATTTGCTTTGGTCATATAGTAAACAATATATTGTTTTATGTTTATAAACGAAAAAAAACACATTAACTTAACGCGTACCACATGTGTTAGGATTGGAGATCGTGTGAAATATTTATGGAAATTATAATATTGTATAGTTATAATTATTGTTATTATAGGACATTATATTTATCTATTAAGTATCTCGTAAAAATCACTTTATAAGCGGATTATTGATGTGTCATTTTTAATATTATTATTGTCAATATTACTATTATCATCAAAAAATAGCTTAGACATTAGATTTTATACACAATATTATACTTGACCAATAACATATAATTAACGAGTATTACAACAGGCTATGCATAATATACAACAACTGTATAATTTAAACGTGGATAGGTATATAGTTTTTTTTAAATTCTATCGAAAATCGTATTTTATTTTCGATTTGGCATTGTTTTTTTTTTTTTTTTAACGAAACGCCTACTACAACAGACGATAGCGATGAATTCGTTGGCACACATTTTGACAAGTATGATGCAACAAATTACCCAGCTGTAGATATATAGTTTTTATTTGATTTTGTTTTCCATTATAAATATAAGCTGCAAATGCACTTTAATGGCGTGATTGACGCCTGATGGTGTATACTTGCCTTTCATACTTCACCCAAGTCTTTTCATCGAACGGTGGCTTGTTAAGATGTGTCCATGGATACCCACCCACAGACCGTTTTCTCCTCACTTCCTCCCAGTGATAAGTGGCTGGTGGAACAGGGGGTGGTTCGGGTGTCGTCGACCTGTCCGAGGTAGATCTACTGCATCCCGAAGTAGACCTACCCGATGTAGACCGGCCTGGGGTAGATGTGCGTGAAGTAGACCTACACGGTGTGGACCTGGTTGACAGTGACCTGCACGGCGTAGACCTGGTCGACTGAGACCTATCGAGAGTCGATTGGTTCAGCGTCGAATAATAGGGTCCGTCCCTGCCACGGGCCATTGATTTATGCGAATCTAACATAAAAATATTACTCAAATATATTTTAATTTAAGGAAATATAATATGTGAAGAGCAAATTATCGAGTCCATTGACAAATAAAATTTAATGCGATTAAATTCAAACCCGCATTTGGTAAGTTAACAAACTTCACTATCGATGATACCATACACCTTATTTCGCTATCATTTTTTACCTATTATAAGGTACTCATATAATATGATAGGTTATATTCATTCCAAACAATTAAGTAATGATAACCACACTATTAAAAATCAAATTATTTATTTGGTTCATTGAATTCAAATACTAAAATCTGAATATTACGAAATATATTAGTTCTATTATTTTTATTTCATATAATATAACAAAAAATGCAATTTTCAATATTTTTTTTCAAGAATCTTGTTTTTTTAATAAATTTGTAAAATATATATTTAAGAACTGTAAAAAATATGTTAAAAATGTTCACACCCCTAAACATTTTTTGCTTGAGCAACGGGGCCATTTACCCTTTTACCTTTAGAACATTGAATTAAAACATAGGTATATGGCAATTGTTTTGTACTTATTCTATAAAATCGACAATATTATTGAACACAAAAACAGTTTTATTCATATTAGGTATACAGAATCATATAACATTAACGTATTAATACGGTTAATATGTGCGTGTATACAGTGTGTCCCAAAAGTCCCATATAACCCTAAGTATCTTTGCGAAGCTGTGATGCATCAATATAGCTAATATTAAAATACTATTTTCTTCAATAGATTGCTATTAGAAAACTCTATAATTTATTTGTTTATATTTTTCATAAATTAGGTATCTATATACTGTTATGGACAACACCTAGATAAGGTCTAAGTTATTGATTTGCCAGAAAGTCACGGTGATTATTTTGGGATATACGTAGGTATTATACACACATTTAAGTAGTAGGTACCAACCTGGTTCTTCCATCGTCACACGTCACGCGATGAGGCTTACGTGATGACGGGTCTAGGTACGAGTATCATTCGCACAGCTTTATTCTTAATTCGTTTCAAATGCGCTTCAGTTTTTATTTTTATTGTATTTTTACAGAGCTTATCATTTGACTTTGACGATTAAGTTGACACGCACACGAGTCGGATCTCGCGCACCGGAGGCGGAAAACCGTTTGTGTGCGTGCATGCAGCTCGTTTACGACGTGGTCCCGACGCTCAGACACGTTTGGGCTGCGTCCAATTTCGTCAATTAAAAATAAACTCGACCCTTTGGATTTGTCATATCGCGAAGTGGCCCATATTTTTCACTTTTTTTTTACTTAGTTTTTCGCTCGCCGTCGTTAACGATCGAAAATGAAAATCACACCGTTTTATTTCTCGATGTCTACCCCCCTCAAAATAACAACACAGATGATAACGATATGGATTTAACGATTAAGTTATTCAAACAAAATTCTAAAATTCTATATTGACTTTTCATAAACAGAACGGACAAATGTATTGCATTTTTCTGAAAAATATATTATATAAAAGTAAACAGTTTTCGGCTGATTTATTGAGTATATATAATAAACAATTGCATACTGCGCTTAAAACATTAAATTATGTAATATATGACATATATTATTTATATGTGAATAGTACATACTCGTTTCTCACGCATTTACATCAGCAGTACATACACGATATAGATACGCGATACACGTAAATCGTAGTCAGTTCCATGAAGTATAACATGAGAGAATATAGGGATTACAAGAAACAGTATACAGAAACAATAATAGTTTATAATAATAATGACGATAAAATATTTGTATAATAAAACTAATTTAGGGTATTTGGTACTTATTAAGCAGCAATATGTTTTTTTTTTTTTTTTTTTTTTTTTTTTTAAACCAAGTAGTTTTATAATATAAATAGATTAATGAATTTTATAAAAAATACTGTACTTTATTTCGCTAACAATTAGTATATAATGCAATTTTAAGAGATTTTTCGTAGTACAAAATGGAAGATTTGGAAATTGATTTATTAATTTAGAAAAAAATTAAACTATTTATTATTAGAATTAAAAAAAAGAAAAGTGTTACAGGTTTTTTCAAATTTAATTGGTACACATAACTTATATAATAATATAACATTGTAGTTTGGTACTTTTATTCACGTATATAAACATTATAGGCTTTGTTAGCACTTATAATTATTTATATACGTTCATTGTACTTTCGATCGAACGTATTTTGATTAAACCATAACACATTTTTAAGTTTCAAATATTTTACGATTGAGTTAAATAGTTTTTAACAAATTATACGAACAAATAATTAAGCCTTTAGAGCCTAAACAATAAGAATAATAATTATATATTATTGGTATAATATAATATATACAGCATGATTCTTTCAAAATGTCCATCCTATTTTTTTAAACTCAGTTATTCAAAATCTGATTTTTATATTAAAAAAAAAAAACATATTTTTGAATACTTGAAATTGTTTGTATCACTTAAAGAGTATCTTGTGAAAAACTTGTTTTTTTTAATGAGTACCCTCTATCTTACTTTTAATTATTCAGTATGTCATTTTTTTTTTAAATTATTGATATAAATTTTTGATCAAAATTGAAATTCAAACGAGTAATTTCTAAATTATTAAAATAGATATAAATCCAAGTACAAAAAACTCCTCAAAAATGGTTTTACAAAAATATGAAATAGATATAACATTGAAACTAGTATTTATAATACAAAGACAGTTTTACAAATTTTAAAACTCTGATAGATTAATATCAATTACTATAATTTTCAAATTATCATAGTCCCAACTAAAACCTATAATCACGTATTTATTATCCTTATTACATATTGTTAAATAACCCTGAAACTATAGGTATGTTCGATTTTCGATTTAGATACATCAAAATTCTTAAAAAATGATCTGCGCTGATCAATTTAAACTTTTAAGTAAAATAAGATGGTTTGGATTTTAAAAACAAAAGTTTATACCACCACATAAGACATTTTAAATGGTACAAAAACTATTGAGTATTGAAAATATGATCGTTAAGCATATTAAAAATTTTCAAAAATCAGGTTTTGAATAACTTGATTATTAAAGAAAAACGGATATAGGCGTCCTTGGTGAATCACTCTATATATAATATATATTATACCATCGATATTTAATTAGTATTTTTTTTTTAAATATATAATATATTATACATATAGACATATATTATATAAATATATAAATATACATATTCTAGATACTACTATTTAACTGAACGTATATAATATAGGCATGTAGAACAAATATCAAACTCTGGTTATTAGAAACAAAACAAATAATATGTGGGATAAATATCTACAAACTAGACGAATATTATATCACCACATTTTACGTACGTTTGGTCAAAATCAAAATTTAAAATAGATTTAAATATCGTTGACATACATCATATCCGAACAATTTTCACACAATATGCAGGTATAGGTCACACACGAATTTCACGATTTTATACAATATTTATAGAAACATAATATTATAATGTATGGTATTCTACACACTATATATTATAATCAAATAACAACAATAATAATAATAATTATTATTTTTATACTGGAAGAATTGACGACCGCCGAACAATATAATAATATTAATAGTGGGTCGTGAGGATCATTCGAAGTTTTCGAAATGTGACAAAACGTCCAGGTGCTTGGCCAACTCTCTGACGTATTTTTTAAGAGATATTTCATCTAAAAAGCTGGCCAAAGGCAAAGGCGGCTGACACCGCGGAAGATACTGTTCTCCCTAAAAACAGATAAAATTATTATTAGTTAATAAGACTATTATTATTTACATTGGTAGTATATGTAAAATAACGTAAAAAATAACAACTTAAAATATTATCCCTCACCTCATTACCTCAAATAGTCACATTGTATTGTCAATATACTATATATTTATTTTCTATTTTATAGATATTTGTTCTTTTAGATAAAATATAATTTATTTATTTTATTTAGATTTTAAAGTAATAATATTATTATTTAATTGCTTATAAGTTATAAAATTTTAAAACAAATAGTAGAAATCAATTTAAATAACAATATTTAATCTATAATTACCACGATTATGAATTTTAAAAAATAACTTTATACGTTTAGTAAAGAGTATAAAGTTATTTTTTTTAGAGTCTTTAGTAGTGTTCGAGTGTTTTTATTATTATTATGTAGAAATTAAAATCAAGTACGCTCAAATTTCGTAATTTTTTATATTACTTGTGCAATGTGCAATGCGAATAGTCTAAAATACACGAAACCCATTTGAACATAATATATACATTATACACCCACTAATCACTATTATAACTACATGTTTTTTTGTTTTTTTTTTTTTTTTTTATGAATGTTGATTTCAATATTTATTAGACTTTTACATACGACGAAAAATTATTTTTAGGTTTAGTTACTTAAATAGCGCTAGTTGATTACAGAATACCTCTTAAAATAATAATATTATTATACAAACACAAGAATAAAAACAAAAATTGTCTTGAAAAAGATACATTCATCATATATTTAAATTATTATTTAAATAAAAAAAGAGTTTTATAAATTTACATGAAAATTATATAGTACCAATCGAAAATATATTCGATAACAATACTTTATATAGGTAGTTTATTATTTTTTTATTACAGCATGTAATTAAATTTTTTTTTATTCATACTATTTGTTAGGTGCATAGGAACAATACGTTTAGTAGATGATAAAAAAAAAAAAAAAGACAGAAATTACGAATTGTAGAGACTTCTTATTGAGGGAACTATTACACAGTAAAAGTAAAACATTTAATATAATATAAGTAAAATGAGATTTTAGGAATTTTTAAAATCTATTAATATTATTTGTTTAATAAACAATTCATTATTAAAAAACAATTTAAGTGCATATTATTAGAAAATAGTGGGATTTTACACATTTCTATGGTTCAAAGTATAAAAAAGTTAATATATACTTGTGTGTTTGGTACATTCAAAAATAGCACATTTCATTATCGCAAAACATTTCCACAATGCGTATAATTTGTATATACTTTTTATGCCAATGTCTAAATTAAAACATATTTTATATTTGAGTATGTTATGTACATATGGTGTGTGTGGTATATAACTATATTATTTTCTACTTGTAATTTTTAACATTATAAATGCCAAAAGGTATAATTTTACGTCTAACTATACATTAAATATTAACGAAAAAGTAAAATACGTAACACGAGTTAACTTAAAATGAATAATTGTACATTATTTATGAAGAATGAAAATAAATAAAAATAATAACATGTTCATTAACTTACAATAAATGCTCGATGATGACGAAGTACAACGTGGCAAAAGACGTACCGCAATAATAATAGCCGTAAAAAGTCGTCACCAAAGAACTGTATGTAAGACACGTCTGAAATAAAAACAAAAAACAATGTTTATGCATTAAGTAATTCAAAACAATTATTTCTGGAAACTTGTATATTTTAAATTTATTTTATTTACCTGGTTTTACTTTACTAGTAAACAGACGGCTAGCTTCCGTAATGAATCTATCTACGTACGAATTGGCCCTTTCCCATAAATGCATTTTAATCGTTAGGATGTTGCATATGAGACAAAATGCAGTCAAAGGGCTATGCAAAAATAACGTGAACAAACTTCCATTGTGTTGTAGTTGTTCTGTTTGAAAAAAAATAATAATCTAAATTAGCTAGATTATCTAATAAAAATGACATAGGTATCCGTATAAAAATTAAAATGTATACATTTTTAAGGTACCCCGACAAAATATCGCTGGTAAAATATCGCATGATCAAAATTTCGCAACAAAAATGTCACGAAACTAATATACCGAAAAGAAATAATACTACCGTAAATTATTATCGCATCTGTTAAATCCAAATAAACTAATTAAAAAGAACAAGACAGTCAGTTGGGCTGAACGAGTAAAGAAAGTAGTAGTAGATTATCATAATTATAAGAGTTTGAAAATCATCTTCAAGGTATTTCATTTAATATATACTTCCATTAATTAATATACATATTTTATTACTTTTTATTTTCTAATACTTATATCAATATTATTAAATTATACATATTTTTATCATTTTTATCAA